TTGGGGTGGTCGCTGGCTACTCGGATGTCCTTCCTTATGACACCCACAATCTCTCTCACCTCTGCCAGGGTGTCGTAGCAGTTAGTGGGTGGTTGCCGGCTGTGCTCTACTGTGGTTTGCTGCTTCTTTCCTATCAATCTGACGTCTATCCTCTTTATCTCTCCTTCTTCTTTCCTATCAAACATCTATCGACTTATCTCTCCTCCTTCGTAGGTGTTTGGCGGGTGCTCTGGTGTGGTTTGCTCTTTCTTTCCTATCAAACATCTATCGTCCTGATCTCTCGTCCTTCTTTTTTGTGTTTGTTACTCTCTTGTAACACCTCTAATCTTCGGCACTTATATGACCTTATTGTGTTGCAAGTGCTGTAAAAGTCTTACTAAAGCTAAACATGTTTGTGTGTCTGAGATGAAAGGAACGGCGAGGGTTCAGTTGGAACACAATGTTTTTCTTGTAAAGCGAAACAAAGTCTCAGCATTAATTGTTACCGTGTCAAAGCATAACTCAAACCGTTGTTGTGCACAGGCATATTTTATGTGACACTATTATATATAATGTTGCGGACTGGTTGTTTTATATTTGCCGGCAGACAGATGTGCATCTTGTATGTACATGGATTCTCTTTTGTCGGTTGATCATTATCTGACCATATATGGTCGCTTTTAAGCACAAGGGGGCTATCCCGAAAAATGCTGTTTTGAGAAAATCGAAGGTAAAGTTTTTGTCCCTTGTTCAGTTTCTTTAAAAGACAAGGAGAGTTTTCTCTATAACCAAACAAATATACACACCAATGAAACCAAACTTCTGCTATAGGTAGGGTAATTCCCGCTTTTGGTGTTGGTCAAGATATCTGGAAACCCCCGAAATCTGGGTTAGCCCGCTTGCCCTTAATAAAAGCGACCATATGCTTGTATTATTGTGTAGTAATATGTACAAATGAATATGTATAAAATCTTTCGTCATCATGCATTTGAGGTTCAGTCTTTGGGAAGGCTTATAACAATTCTTATACTTTGTGGCTTTCTAGATTATCTGATAGCATCTGCGTGATAAGAATTTTTAAAAATTTTGGTTCATATTATTATTTTTTTCCATTGTGAACCTTGGGTACGGTTCAGGTTTGTTTTTTTCATTTCCTGGATAAAAATTGAAAGCGGTTAATTAATTTTGCTTTAGTTGACGATTGTGTAAGTTTTTATATGTTCATGCAGAAGGTTTTGCAATTTGTTTTCAGGTACATTTTTGTTTGTTTGTGGCATCAGTTTGGATTGTTCTGTCAGCTCTTTGTTTTTGGAATGAACAGAAGGTGGAGTCAGTGATTGAGAGAAGGTGAAGTCAGTGATTGAGAGAAGGTGGAGTCAGTGATTGACAGAAGGTGGAGTCAGTGATTGAGAGAAGGTGGAGTCAGTGATTGAGAGAAGGTGGAGTCAGTGATTGACAGAAGGTGGAGTCAGTGATTGACAGAATATTTGTGAGTGTGTGCCTAAAGAAAGGTACCAAAAGTCGCCACAGACCATTTTGACCTACAGGCTAATAGGGACAAAAAATCGGTTTTTGACCCAAATGTGTTTCCGTAAAAAATTGATTGTTCCACCATTTTTTAACAATGTGTTAAAAGAGTTTTCATTGATTTGACTTCTAAATATTTTATTTTAATTATTTTGAGGGTAAGGTATGTTTTAAAAAAGATAATGAGAACTGCTTTTAAAAGGTGTTAAAATCTACTCTTGAAGCACGTTTTCTCTTCCCCGCTATGTTTTACCATTGAATTCTTATATTAATAATGATATATGATGTCTACTGAATGCCAAATTAGAAATTAATTTTCCATGAATAAATCATTAGAAACAATTGAATCATCATTTTTTTTTTCAAGTTTGTACGTGTTCTAAACTTGAAAGCTAATTTTCTCAAAATTAGATCTTTTACCCTACCTCGCAAAATGTGCAATATCTCAAAAACTACCTGAAATGTCTCAAAAATTCAAAAACCACTGTGGTCAGCATTGAATGTCCTATTATGTACCGTTCAACTCTTAACTCAAAATGGTCAAAATATGACTTTTGGTACCTTTCTTTTGGCACAGACACACTTGTATTGAGCAAAGTAGACTATGAAAGTATGTCAGTCAGCGTGTTGATCGAAGTGAACTTTGGTGACTGTAGTAGAAACAACTTTAAAATGTTGAATCAGTCGGTATGTAAATGGAGGTGAACTTTGGTGACTGTGATTGAAACAACTTGACACTTGTATGTTGAATTTTTGTTGTCTCCTTACCCCATACCCAGGAGTGTAAGAAAGTGGTTTTGGGGAAGAAAGATTTTTGTGGGTTTCTTCCCTTAGAGACAACTGATCATTTCCTCATCCGGGGTGGGTAAACGGTGCAGCACTCAGGTTTCGCCGGGATGGGAGAACATTTAGCGTTCAGATCAGAGCTCCTTCCTCTTCACGATGGGAGGGTTTTCTTCTTTTCATATATGTGAGGCATTGTGGTGAAATCATGCGCTCGTCAAAATAATGAAAAAGAAAAAATCGACATTTTTCAGTCTGTTAGAATTTCTTTTTCGGAATTTTGTTTTATGGCTGAACACCTTGTAAGTCCATTCAAAAACACTTTATTGTGTGGATTTTATGGAAAAACATAGATTAAAGGCACAAAAGGACTCTTGGGCTATGGTAGTTACCAAACTTTGGCGGCCATTTTTTTGCTAATTTTATTTCTGAGACTTCAATCGTTAATGTTTCAGCTTCTGCTCAAGATAGATGGGTATTTTTTTCATCAAAATCGCGACATATGAACAACCTTTAAGGTGATATAGACCTGCATGTTTGCCGACAATCGTCTGAAATCCGACAATCGCGACCCGACCCGCGAACCGGCCGATGCTATCGCTAGGCCCACCTGTATCAGTCAATGTGCGTAGTGCGAGGCTTGGCCGACTGCCAGCGACCCCTTTTTCTCCCGTCGGCTTCGTCGGCACTTTCGTTTTCGTGCCGACTGCCGACGCGCGCATCGCCGACTGCCGACGTCGGCGTTTCCGACATAATTGTCGGAACCTAAGTAGAAATGCGAATACGGAAAAGGACGACAACCTAAATTATCTACTTTCAGTTTCGTGCTCGAGCGGCCGAATTTCGTTTGTTGACTAATTCAATTGTTCAGATCGTGTGGATTCATTCAAGTCCGACTCTCTTGTTCTAATAGAATGAATAGATCTAGATTTATATAGATCATTATAGACCTCAATGGAGGATTCATATTCCAATTCTTTTGTGTCAAACCCTATCATAGGTTGTGCTGTAATATTAATATTGGTAAAAATAAGCATTTCATTAGGTGCGTGAATTATTTATTTATTTAGATCTAGATTTAGATCTAGATCTAGAATCTAGACTCAGCTGAGTCCCTCTGTTCGGAATCGGATGCGGATTTCTAGTTCAAGGCCTATTCCTATTCACTTGTTCTACAAGATCTAGATCTAGATCAAACCCTATAGAGCAATGCAGATGTAAGCCATAGATCTAGATCTATGCTCCTTGTTTGTTTTGGCTTTGGAGTGTGGTATTTTAATTAGATCTAGATCTAGATCTATTTTTTTTTCATTTAGGACTTGTTTTGGACTTTTTACATGAAGCCCGTTGCAGGTTCTTTTTGGGGGTAGGGTTAGGGTTAGGTCTCTTCTTTATTGTGTTTGTTGGGGTGGTCGCTGGCTACTCGGATGTCCTTCCTTATGACACCCACAAAGGCTTTTTTTTTGGGAGGGGGGGGGGGTTGCACAAAATTTTCAGACAATCTGGTTGAGGCTCACATGCAGGTCTAGGTGATACCAACAGCTCCATATGCCCACAAATTGACGAGCGCCTGATTCCACTGCTTCATGGCACATGCGGTTTTTTAAATTGTTTTTTTCTACCATTTTGTCCATAAAGTACTTCTACTGTCCGAATCGTCTTCAATTTGAATTCCACCATTTGTGATTCAAAGATGGATGTGCTTTGTGACCTTGTGAGGTTCTCATAAACTAGACACTTCCTCTCCACCCAGCGGCCAGTGGATGGACAATACAGTGGACACTGTCGGAGATGTCCGGCCTTTGTGTGGGAGGATTGACGTCTTACTGTGTCATTGTGGACTGTTCTAAAAGGGTTAACATCTTACACAGGGAGGAGGAGGGGGGGATGGTTGTCTTGTGCAGGTGGTTGTCTTGTACAGGTGGTTGTCTTGTGCAGGTGATTGTCTTGCACAGGTGATTGTCTTGCACAGGTGGCCATTTGAACAGGTGTGACCGTAGTCAGTGAGAAGATTTTGAATTTGTCCAGGCAAAAGAGACACCCTGTGTGTGCTATCATGATGTTTCCATTCCCCCCACCTCCATCTCCCCCCCTCCTCCATCCCCCCCCCCCCCCCTTTCAATGTACAACTTTTCATACCTGTTATAAATCTCCACTGTTGCATCATGGGTCTTCCATCGCTGTTGTCCTTCATCCATGTGTAATGCTCTGATGCCTAGGTACCTTTGTGTACAGAATTTGTTTGTTTCCTCTCTCATTTTGTGGTTTGTTCCTGGTGTTTGCATTGATGAAGTTAGCTCCCCTGATGATCTCTTTTCTTTCATTGTTGAATTCCTGTAAGGGTTTTTTAAATTGTTATTATTAGGTCTATGGGTTTTTTTACATTTTGATTCAACTTAAACAAGATACATTCTGCGTATATATAATATTCTTCACTTTTTCTTGTTTAAAAAAATATTTTTGTACAATTATATGTGAGAGTAAGACAGCATGATGGAATCACGTGCTCGGCAAAATTGGCTTTTTTTGTTGTTGCAAGATTGGGAATGTTTATCGATTTTTGGGAGGTTTTTTGGCTCAACACCTTTCATGTCCATGAAAGAAC